TTTAAATACTCACCCAGGGCCACCACCCACTACACTGTGCGTTCCTTGGGGTTGGGGACTTTAATTCTCTCTGCATCTTCTGTGCAGTGTCTGGCACGTGTGTATGGGAGATGTTGAAAGGATAGAGAAAATATTTTCAGCACTAGCAGGAATGACTCCTGTAGTCGCTTTGCTGGATGCTGTCACAGTCAGACAGGCAAAAGGTCGCAGCTCTCAAGAAAGCTATTGTAGAATAACTTCATCTCCTGATCCAAAATTAATCTTACTCCACAGTCCCCTGGTCTGGGAAGATTTGTAACATCTTGATTGTATCCTGTCTTTTTGTTTTCCAGGCTGTGTGGATCCCTGGGAGCCCAAAGTGCTCCGGGCGGGTATGGGCGCACATTTCCAGGTGCCCATTATCAATAATCTAGAGTGGGAAACCGTGCCCAATTACCTGCCCCCTGACACCCGGGTCTATGTGGCTGACAACTGTGGCCTTTATGCCCAGGCTCAGATGTCTAATAAAGCCAGTGACCATGGCTGGGTGTCGAACCAACGGTTGCTGAAGTTTCAGAAGTATGAAGAAGAGGAAGATGTAGAAACGGGAACCAGTCAAGATTGGCTGCCCGATGTTGAGGTTCAGAGTTACGACTCGGACTGGACAGAGGCGCCGGCAGCTGTGGTGATTGGCGGGGAGACCGACGGCGTGAGCCTGGAGTCCCTGCAGCTGGCCGAGAGCACTGGTGGCAAGAGGCTGCTGATCCCCGTTGTGCCTGGTGTGGACAGCCTCAACTCGGCCATGGCGGCAAGCATCCTGCTTTTCGAAGGGAAAAGACAGCTGCGGGGGAGGGCGGAGCACTTGAGCAGGGACAGGAGTTACCACTGAGAAGGACGCAGAAGTGACTCCTGCTTCAGGACGTCTCCAGCTCCTCCTACACCAGCACACGGGTTGGAGGCTGGCAGAGTCAGTGACTATGGCCCCCATGTTCAGGGGGCAGGTGTGATGCGTCACACGGTTACGGGAAAAATAAGAACTTCCTCAGAAAGAACAGGTCCAAATTCTTCCCATTGCGTCACTGATTTCAAGGTTCTATCTTTTTTCTCTTGGTGACCCACGTGGCTCTGGGTGTTTTTAAAAATTGTCCACCAGGAGCACTTCGTGCCCAGAAAGTTCCTGAAGCATCAACCTGGGCAGGGAGGCGTCCGCTCCGCCAGCTGGTGGGTGTTTGCGATCGTCAAGCACCAGTTACAGGTCACAGCCACGTCACTCACAGATGATTGTTGGTCGGTGGAAAATAAACTATGAGCAGCGGATTACGTTAAACAGTTGTTTTGTGTGGTTGGTGTGTCACAGTACCTGTCACGTTTGGCCTGGTAACGAGGACGTGGCTAAGGGAATACCAGGAAGCTGAGGGCTAAACTCTTGGCATCCAGTAGCTCTGCTCTGGGCTCAGATGATCTGTCTTTGAGATTGTTCATGCCTTCACTGAGCCACTGTTTATGTATCCATAGAAATGGCTCAATTTAACAGGCCGTGTCAGACCTTGGCACCTTTGCAGATATCTTTTTGAGGATTTTTGCAGAGACGGAAGTCTATGCAGAAAACTGAATTTCAAAATCTGCAGCCTTACCCTGCGTTTGTCATGAAAGTGTCACTGTTTCCTGGTTCCCTGTGTTAGCCCTACTTACGTCTCACCCCCCAATGTTTAGAGGCCAAGGTTCTGAGGATGAACGCCCACAACACAGCGGCAGGACCCTTCTGTTCTCTCAGCCCCTCCAGGGACCAGGGCAAGCTGCGTCTACCTACCAGCGGCCAAACCAGGATGAAGCCAGGGCAGGTGCTTCAGGGCAGGTGCTGATGCTGGTCACTGTATCTATACAGAACTGTGGGGACGGGGTGGGTGGGGGGAGTATGGGACTCACTTTAAGCACTGCTTTTGCGGCCACACACACCATGGTTGGAGTTGAGACCACCACCAGACGTGCTTCCCCACACCCTTCTGCCCAGCGGCTCCCGTAATGGTTTGGATTCTTTGGGAGCCCCTCAGCTGCTCACTCCAGGGAGGTCAAGTGCGTCGCTGGTGTGCCCAGGAGAAACCATGCCCCCCACCCCTTCTTTTCTACTCCCCCAACTTCCTGGTAAAACTTCCTCTCGGGAGAACCAAATGACTAAGCATGGTTCACGTGCCAGGGGGGCAGGGTGGGATGCTCTGGCATGTTCCAGGGGACGGTGTTTGCAGGGACAGCGTCCTCCCAGGCTGACATTTGAATATTTGAGCATCTGCTCCGGGGCCCCGCTGTGGTCTGGGCCTGCCCAGAGCTGCACATGCAAGTGGCTGCCCGCAACACTGCTCACAAAGGCTAGAGCAGAGGACAGGCGCACGGGTGGCCTGGAGAACGCAAATTCATCCCGTTCCAGTCTCCCCAGACACCTCAGGAAAGTGCTCAAGAAGCAGGAGTCAGGAAAAGGAAGCTCACATCTTTCCAGCCTAAAACCAATCTCCTGGGATTTGTTCCCTGGGTTATACTCCGGCTGACTCTTGTTACAAAATAACAGTGAAAGAATAAACCATGTATTTACCTTGTCCTTGTTTAGAAAAAGCAATGTAAACACTGGAAAGTAATTTTTTTTTTTTTTTTTGAGACGGAGTCTCGCTCTGTCGCCTACGCTGGAGTGCAGTGGCACGATCTCGGCTCACTGTAAGCTCTGCCCCTCAGGTTCACGCCGTTCTCCTGCCTCAGCCTCCCGAGTAGCTGGGACTGCAGGCGCCCGCCACCTCGCCCGGCTAATTTTTTGTATTTTTAGTAGCGAAAGCGTTTCACCATGTTGGCCAGGATGGTCTCGATCTCCTGACCTCGTGATCCACCCGCCTCAGCCTTCCAAAGTGCTGGGATTACAGGCGTGAGCCACCGCGCCCGGCCTACACTGACAAGTAATTCTAAGCCCATTTTATCCTGGGTGTAAGAGGGGAAAGAAATTTACATCCCATTGCTTTAGAGTCCGTGGCTTATATGCAGTGCCTTAAGTTCACTTCATATACTCATGGGTATAATTTAGGAGGGACAAGGAAGGGTGCAGGAGGGAGGCAAATTGTCCTTTCTTCAGTGAATCCAGAGGAGCAGATGGTGGTTATTTGCTGAGAGATTTTGGAAAATCACTACCTTGAATCCTCAGTTTTGAGGCTGACATTCGTTCTGTCACCATTTCCTCAGTAAACGGGAATAAACGAGCAACATTTCACAAGAAAAACACTGCTTGGCCGAGAGACAAACATCGTCGGGATGTTGGCCGCGCTCCCGCGCCATTGTGTGGCCGCGAAACTGCCACAGTGGCATCTGCCAGGAGGTGGCAGGCGACGCCTCCAAAACCACCCCAGTGCTGAAGGGCGGGGCTGCAATTTTTTTCCTGGATTTCAATGGTTGAAAAGGGAGGAAAAGACGATGGAGTGAAGTCTCCCGCCACCAGAGAGCATTCTGCTGTGGGTGCTCCAGGGTGTTAAAGGTGGAGACCCATCCGGATTGTCCCACATGACTCAGAAGAAAGAACCTGGAGTACAGGAAGACATGGAACAAAAACGGAGGCCAAAGAGGACCAACGGGAAACAGCAGGAAAAACTAGCACAACTTTTCTCTGACTGGAGCCTCTGAGAAAGCAACTCTGGGCAAAGCGCAGATGTCCAGATGTGCCTGGAGCTCACGCTGGGCGCCCCCCGGCTGGCCCTGCAGTTCCTGCTTCGGGGCAGAAGGCGCTGAAATCACTCCCCTTGCCCCAGCCGCTGGCTCCTGGCTGGGAGCCTGGTCATTAAGGTCCAGAGGAGAAACAGACCTCGGGGGACCCCCCACTGCTTGCCCCAGGGTTGGCAGCAACCCCAGATGTCTGCACCAGCCACGCCGGGCCAGACTTGGCCCCACTTTTGCCATTCTGCCGCACACAGCCCAGACGCACACCCCATCCAAGGTTCCAGAGCTTTGCACTGAAAATCACCAGCTGCACTGCAGGGCCTGGGGCCGCCCTCTTGACCAAGCCACCTCTCCCTCAGGAGCAGACCTGACAGGCTCACCTGCTTTTAAGAAAACATGTTACCATCTTAAAAATTCCATGATTATACTTCCTCTATTTTTTTTCTTTCCTTTTTTTTTTCAGATGGGGTTTTGCCATGTTGCCTAGGCTAGTCTTGAACTCCCGGCCTCAAGCTGTCCTTCTGCTTCAGCCTCCAAAGTGCTGGGAGGACAGGCGTGAG